GAATGTCATCAATCAACTGCCTCTAGAAGATATAGAAGTCTTTCTCTGGTCCGACTCGTCGATAGTGCTTGCGTGGCTTGAAAAACCCCCATGCAATTGGAAGGTGTACGTGGCGAATCGGACTTCACAAATTATCGCAAGTGTCGGAAATCTCAAATGGCGTCACGTATCCACGAACCACAACCCAGCAGATTTGGGAACGCGAGGCTGCAGGCCTCAGGCCCTAGTACAAAATTCACTTTGGTGGCACGGACCTGCATGGCTGCTCCAACCTCCCGACCAATGGCCATTATCTTTTCGACAAAATGTCTCCCCACTCGAAGAACGTAAAGTAGAAGCTCTACATACTTTGGACAACCAACCAGACATCTTAGATCGCTTTTCATCTTGGTCAAAGGCTTTGCGAGTAATAGCTTACATGTTTCGATTTGTTCACAGAATGAAACCAATACAGTCCACTCCAAATATAAATTATGAATCTTTTGTTATTACTCAAAGAGAAATTCATTGGGTCAAAACACGCCTTATAAAACTAGCTCAAGAAAGGCATTACCCAATTGAGTATTCAAAACTAGCGAACCAACAACCAATTTCCAAAAAGAGTTCACTGCTGACATTAAATCCCTTTATCGACAAAAACGGATTACTTCGAGTCAATGGTCGTTTAACAAACTCTTTCTTGTCGTACAGTGAGAGACACCCAATTATCATTCCTGGACCCTCTCGATTCTGTCACTTATTTCTTCAGTTTTTGCACAACTTGCTTATGCATGCTGAGCTTCAACTTATGATCAGGACGACGAGACAAGAATATTTTATTCCTAGACTGAAATCGAAGGTCAAGAACTGCATACGTAATTGCAAAACATGCACGATCTTCAAGCAAAACTCCAGTTCACAAATCATGGCTGCGTTACCGCCTGAGCGTTCGAATTTCTCCTTACCGTTTACCTACACCGGATTGGATTTTGCAGGCCCTTTAGATGTCAAATCATCTACCTTGCGAAAATCCCCATTGCTCAAAGGCTACGTTTGCGTATTCATCTGTTTTTCGACCAAGGCTATTCACTTAGAGCCTTGCTCAGATCTTTCCACGAAAGCATTCCAGGCAGGATTCCCTCGTTTTGTAGGAAGACGCGGTCTTCCACAACGCCTCTTCTCCGACAATGGAAAAAACTTTGTGGGCGCCAATCGCGCCTTTAAACAAGATTTTAAACGATTCCTCAAGGAATGCTCAGATGATATTCGATCAAAATATACGCTACATGGTTTCGATTGGCATTTTTTGCCATCAGACGCTCCTCACATGGGCGGACTTTGGGAGGCTGCGGTAAAAAGCTTCAAGCTCCATTTCAAAAGGATTGCGGGAAGTCAGTCGTTCACCTTCGAGGAACTGGCTACATTATTGGCACGTATCGAAGCAGTTCTGAATTCGCGTCCACTATCCCCTATGTCCGATAGTCCCCAAGAGTTGCTAGCTCTAACACCCGGTCATTTTCTGCGTGGTGCGCCTCTCCTGGCAACCCCAGAACCTATTGCCGTTGATAACCTTTCACTACAGAATAGATGGGAGAAATTAAAGATCTTACACCAACAGTTCAGTCTCCGCTGGAAAGAGGAGTACCTGAAAGAACTTCACCAGAGGTATAAATGGAAGGCTCCACAAAAAAATCTTACCGTAGGCGATTTTGTTGTCTTAAAAAAACGAATTAATACCACCCAATGAATGGCGCTTAGGCCGAATAGAGAAGGTATATCACGGGTCAGACCATCTCGTGCGCGTCGCAGACGTTAGGACGCAACACGGCATTTTCACGCGACCAATTCAGTCCGACCTCCCTAGTCAGAGTGCTACACACCACACCTAAACCACACTCCACGTTCACCTTAGCCTTCAGTCTGCCAATATCATATTAAACTCCTATCTTTTTACAGACGATCGCCATCTCTACCATCTCCAATCCGCAAGATTCAGGCTCCGTTCATAAGCCCGCTGCGGGATCCGTTGGTACACCAGTGCCAAATGTGTTTTCGATACCATCCACTGCGGTTCTGCAAGGCCTTCCTTGCAATGAATGTCGAGGACCGGATCCGGTGCGTTGAGCGGCATCGTTATTGTCCAAATTGTCTGGCGCAGACCCATAGTACCGTACGCCGATGTTCGTTTTCCGAAGTGTGCAAGGAATGCCGGCAGCAACACCACACTTTGCTGCACCGTGCCGTGCCAGGTGAAAGAATCAACGCCCAGAGGCATCCGCCAACGGGAGGGCCGTCTAGGGCAGAGACATGCCGTCAGCTTAACGTGGCCATAAATGCATTGACCCAATTGCGGGACAGCCTTGCACCGGTGCAACTCGGCCGGTATGTTTAAGGGACTTGCGCTCCCTTAAATTTCCCACGTCTTTATGCATCCCTGCATCACTTTCAGCTAAAAGCATCCCTGCTTAGCTGGAAGTTCGAAAGGTGCACGGGAATCCAGTTCCAGTGTTGCCTATAAAGGCGGCCGCCACCTTGCCATCGATCTCTTTTTGCAAATCACCTTTCCCGATCGAGGACCTTCATCGGAACTACAATCCACAAGGATCT